ACCTTGCCTGATTCAACAAGTGCATGTCTGTAATCAGTGCCTGTCACAATCTTAAACAACAGCTATTTAACTCAAACCTAAAATTGATGTTATACTTGCCTTCTTCTCTTCTTTACAATCCACATGTATAACAACACTAACAGCTAGGCAGACAACGACAATAATTTTCAACTTCATCTTTATCTGCTTAGTCTGTTAAAAAAAAAAGATTGGACTTTGGAATGATTCTGAATTTCTTAAAACAAAACAGTATTATGCAAGATAAGTCCTATGTTTTTATTTCATACCTTGTTGGAAAGTGTTTTGAACTATCTTTTTATAGATTTTTAATTTTGAAACAATTGTAGACGACTGATACATTAATTTAAGCCTTCTTTTGATGATTAAGAGGTGGACTGATTTTCAGTTGCCTGTTAAAGCTTGAGATAAATTATGTAATGGATGTAGACCAACAAATAGAGTTTTTATACTCGGTACATACATGTACAAAAAAAAAAACTTAAAAAATAAAGTAAATTAAAGGGATACTACGTCTTGTGGCTAATATTTGTGTTTAATAGTGACCATTGGTTAAATAAGTATATATCCCACACTTTATCAAGTTTGAAAAAGCGACAATAAAACTATAATCAAAATTTTAAAAAAAAGTGAGCAAGCGATAAGTCCGTTCAGTTTGAGAAAAAAAGAGTCTGGGTATTCAACGCTAAAACAGGAAACAATCATCTTCCGGTGTATACAAACAAACTTTGCCAATGATTAATATTCGTTGAAAATTGTGTCAGTGGTGGAGTATTCATTCTAAATTATACTTTTGAAATTTTGCATTCCCTCTTCAAAATATGTCTGACAATGTTTAGGTCAATTCAAGAGTAGAGGTCAAGGATGCGGGAAACTCCACTTGAGAGTTACTTCCCCTTGAAAATTACACAGGATTTGAAAATCGCTTAATGGATGTATTAAGCGTTTTATAATTAATTACTTGATTTTGTGGATATATCGGATTATAGAGGGATTTTGATGTATAGTTAGGACACCAGGTAAGTCCACTGATGGATATATACTGTTATTGGCCAAATTTGAGTAAAATTAAAATTTTATGTTCATCCTAGAACATAGTATCCCTTTAAGTTTTTATGCTTGCATCACATATGATTATATTAGGTCTACTATTGACACCCAAAACTGAGTCAGTCTATTATCTATTATAGTAAAAAAAGTATTAAAATAATATTAGAAATTTGCGGTTTATGCTGTATCAGGTATCTCACATTATAACAACTTCTTTGTATCAGCTTTGTTTGTCAAAGTGACTTGTGATGAACAATTTGAATGTTGTAATGATAACAAGTTTTTGCTCAAATGAGATATCTAAAATGTGAATTTAAAACTTAAGTTAGGTTCTTCACAGGGATACAAGATAAGGCCACAGTAATGTGCACATTATATATTTTGTCTTGGTTATATAAGTAGTAGACAAATTTCTTTTATTAGTATACTATGAGGTATAATCTATTATTAATGAAATACAAGGTTATGGTGGCATTATCTCTGTAAAAAATAAAAGTTAATTTACAAAATTACATGTTTACATTAGTTTAGTTAAGCTTTATTGCATTATACTCAAAAATTCTTTTTATCTATTTGCTAGCATTGAAGTTACTAATGTTTTCATAAACTAGATCTTGTTTATGGGATTAAAAAATTTTGTTTGAGTAGCTTGAATGCACATACGTTCTCAACCTATTTTGCTTATGGTGATATTGATGAAAGAAGTTTAAATTTATCTTCCAATTGGTTTTAAAAGATTAGAAAATATAAGAAAAGTGTGAATTGTAAAAGATTTATCTTTGAAATGATCCTCTCACACAAAAAAAAACCCACTTTTTTCAACAGATTTGTATGTCCTATGTATGTGTTTGCATTTAATTCATCTTTCTGTTGATCCTCTACTTTAAGTTTAAATATTTTGATACATAATTAAATTATTTAAACTTAAAGTAAAAGTGCAACAAAACTTGGTGCTGAAATTTACATATTTCTTGCTATATTTTGCTTGTGACTGTAACTGAAATTTCTATTGGTCTTCTCAAAGTTATATTAGATAATGACAAATAGGATACATGAGAAGTAAAGAAAGAGTTCACAGGGAGTCCCAAGCTATCACTTATTTCTCTTTTTATCAACTTGAATCTCTTACACAATCTTGGCATCTTATCAAATTCATTAATTCATCATGACACAAACATTTCTTAACTGAAAATATTTTTTAAATTTCTTTCATTACAGATTGAATTTCCATTAACATCTTTTTATGATTGTTAAATATCATTAGTAAAATAAACACATTATTTTACCAAACGAATACTATCATTATCATGTCAGGGGAGTAACAATTACATTTTAATTATCAAGTATCAAAAACTTTTGATGATATTAAATGGTATTTTTTTGGCTATTATCAAATTTTTACATGAACAAGGAATTGAAACCTTGATTTTGAGTGCATGATGTGACCAGTCTACTGGTATATCGTCTGTCCATCCTTCCACAATTGCTCATAAACACTACCTAGGCACAATTCTTGACTGATTTCGACGAAAATTGGTATGGTTGTTTGTAATCACCCAAGGATGAACCCTATTGAAAATCAGAAAAATCGAAAAATAATTGGTATGAGTTATTGGCCTTGTTTTTGAAGATGCATTCAATTTGAAGCACATAAACACTCTAGAAGGCGCAGTTCTTGATGGATTTTGAAGAAACTTAGTGTGAGTGTATGTAATCACCCAAAGATGAACCCTAACAAAAATCAGAAAAATCTAAAAATATTATTGCCCCTGTTCTTTAAAAACGCGTTCAAGTTTTAGCCTGTAAACAGTCTAGAAGGCCCAATTCTTGACAGATTTTGATGAAACTTTGTAATATTATTCAGTATCGCATCGAAAAGTTTAAAAGAAGTGTATGTCTGAAGGTTGAATATTTCATACTGTTAATTGTTACTGTACCGCCAAATACTTTTTTTTATTTAAAATCAAATCTGCCAGTGGGTGTATATTACCTTGCCTGGCAAGCTATCTTTCACTTTCTGAAGAAAAATATCTTAAATGCTTTTGGAAATTGAAATTTTTGAATATTAAAGCTGAATTTCAGATTGCAAATAAGACATGTCATATTAAGTTATCAATAGTTAGATCTATTTAGATTCTATTTAGATTACCCATACTCATTAGAAAAAAATGGAAAAATTCCAGAATCATCCTCTGTAGATAAGTGTGGTAGGTCATGACTAGGAATTAATCTTCTGGGGTATTTTTTGTATTTCTTATATGAAATGAATCATCTCTGCTTTTAGACTTCTCTTTGAAGAATTACGAACAATTAGGATTAAACCTTGAAATGAATCCTTTTTGGAATAATACAGATTCAGAATTTTCTCATAATATATGCAATGACATGAGAAAATTTTAGAAACTTAACTTCTGATTAATTATTCCCAGATATTGCTCATCTAAGTGTGATAAATTATTTTCATGGTTTTGAATTTCTTTAGGTTATAAATTACCACCCATGTACATCTTCAGATAAAAACTTTTTATAAAAAATTTATTGATGAAGAACAAATTAAATCTCTGACATTTCTGATTAAATAGCAAGTTAAAAGTAAATTAAAAGTACTAAATGACAATTATAATCTTTTTTCAAAGTACAAATGCATTTAATGAATACATTTTTTTTTTTTTTTAAATTAAAATTTTAAAATTATATTTTTAATATAATTCAATGATTATTATCCCTTTTTATTTCCAGTTTTCAACTAGAGTATAAAAACTATTATAAGAAAAATTATTGAGGCAAATATAATTTGCTTTAATTCTAGTAGACAGTCAGAGTGAATAACTTTTGTTATTGTTAATATGTTAAATATACAGAATCAGATAAATATAGTAGAGATTATATACAGGCAATTTATATTACAAACTTATAAAATTAGGCTTGGAGCTAAATGTCACTCTTATCAACTGTCATACAATGAGTAACTATGTTGCCTAACTAGTATAAATGATCTAATTTTCTCTTACTTACCCGTGCTTGATGCGGTAAAGATCAAACAATTCCACCTGCTATATCAGACCATTCATGAAGTCACACTATTCCTGTAACTTCTGCCAATAAAATAGTTAACTATTTAAGACTTGGCAGGCAGTTGGTTTTACCTCCCACGACCATAGCGTAATTACTGTTATATATTCGTGGGAGGTAAACGTATCGGCAATGTAGTACATGGTAGCTAACTCCTGTTTCATCGCAATACGTCAGTCCAGAAGTAAATGAAAAGCATATTATTTAATAGTTTTACGAGGATTTTTTTAGATAACATTCAAGTTGGCAATCGCAGTGCATCTAGAAAGTTTAAAGTGCCATGATAGCTATCCCAGTTGATGTATCCGTAGACAAGACTTCATGACGGCCCAGATTCTCTAATGACTTTCGGTTAATTTCAGTCTTCTCCCTTGTACAACATAACTAGGACGATTGCAGCATGACTTCATTCGTCCGTATTCCCGCACTATGTGGAAATTGTAAAAAAAAAAATACTTGTGCAATTGCAAAACTTCAAAGCTGTACTTGCCCTTTTTTTTGGAAAATATCTCGTTTTTTTATGTGCCAGACTAGCCATCATCGAATTGGTGCAAACGAAAAGAGGATAAAGACAGATGGATGGATAATCTTTTAAAAACGAATTCTGATAATCGAATACATGTAATTCGAAAATATTACCATAGCATCATATGTCATCAAAAGCAGTCATGGACAATGGATATTACAGTCATCAATGTTACAACAATTATTGACAAATACGTTTATTGATTTCGTTAAAATATTATATAAAATAGTATGTGGTATGGAATGAATTTAAATACTAAATCTATATAGACATAATTCAGGTTTATTTGCACGTAGTGCTACAAATACCATTACAATTTTCCTGAAAAATAGCTCTAGATGACAACCACAGTCACCATAGCAGTCAAAACCAAACCACCAAAGCTGTTGATTGAGCATCCCCCTGAAAAAAAAAGAAAGAAAATATATTATTACATATAGCAGAGAACAGGTGTAGCTCATCCAGGAGGCAAGAAATTTAACATAAACTGACAGGCAAAAGAAAGTTTTCACCGCCTTCATTTGACCACACACACCAAAGACAAAGGCATATGTGAGATATATGATGATTGATTTATAAACAGTAATCAATTTCCTTGAATTAGAATGAAAATGCATGGTAATACCGAAATTCAATTCTCCACAATACACAAAGGAAGAGTCAAGGGATCAAAATTAAAAATTATATAAACCAGAGTTCATTGCAAAAGTGCATTAAGAGTTTATTCCATGACAGTAGTCAGGCAAAACGCCATCAATAACGAGTGTGGCCTAGGAGTATGGATTGTAAAATTAATCCTCTTGGCCGCTGTTGAATAAAAGGCACTACAACAGGTCTCGACACTTCATCAATATGTCGCTGAGCATTCAGATTCCCAGATAACCAGTCGTGTTCTAATCTGGTCACACATGCCACCCCATACCATGACGCCTCCACCTACAAACGGATGAACTTCTGTGATGCAGTTTGGCGCCAGTCGCTCTCCCCTTCGTCGAAAAACTCGAACCCTGCCATCGTTCCTGAACAAACAGAACCGACTTTCATCTGTAAAGAGCACCCTCGCCCAGTCACGTCGTTGCCACCGACGTACAGTTCGTGCCCATTGTAGTCTTCGTTGATGTAGACCGGTCAACGCCATTCCACGAAAGGGTCGGTAGGCTCGTATACCAACTGAACAAAGTCTTCGAAGGACTGTTCGGCTGCTGATGACATGACCTAGTGCTGTTGCTGCCGTCGACGCCGCCGTCACCCATCTGTTTCGAAGATGAATCCTCCGGATGTAGCGGTCGTCGGCCGGTGTTGTCACCCTCGGTCTTCCCGATCTTGGTCGGTCTTGGGTCTGTCCTGTCTGTTGGAGCCGGATTATCAATTGCTGATGGTGGTCTGGGAGCAGTTGAAGGTTCTAGCTATCTGTCGTTGAGAAGCCCCCATATTGGCCATACCGATCGCTCTATCTCGCTGCGCTTGCGCAAGTCTTGGCATACTTTTGGTGGTTTTTCCCTTACTGAATGCCTGTTCTGTCCAACTTCGGTATTTATACCGAAATCGTGCACGTGCATTTGGACCAATGTCGCAAAATCGCGTTTTGCACGTTTTTATGCATGCGCGATTTGGAAAGCTGCGTTCGATAATCTGCGTTGTGGTTATGATTACGTTGCATTTAGGCAAATGTTTGCGGCTGGGGTTCTAACCTGTACCAGCTTCTTTGCTTTTTACACAACGATTTTTAAAGTGAAAACTTTCTTTTGCCTGTCAGTTTACTTAGCTTGAGAATTGTTTCCTATTGCTATCATTTTCTTGGCACCGACTTAGTCGAAGATGAAAATGAGAAAAAAAACTTACCGTTATGGTTGTTCTGTTTGACTTTCAGTGTTATGGATTCACTGAGGTTGTTATTTTGAATACAACGGAAGCTCAAACCATTCGACGAAGAACCTATTGTAACGGTGAGTGCCGTTGACTGTTTATCAGAACAGCCATCTCCTGGTGGCTGAGAATCGGTAACACCATCATAATCCACCCAGTCGCTACTATCCGATAAGGACTGTTGAAATTTGATTGAGTGATCGACTCCCCCACTGCACGTTATGGTAACTTCTTCTTCAACGTCATATTCCTCTTTAACTGGCGATAAGGAAATGGTAACCTCAGAGGGAAGACCTAGAATGCACATCGCATACATTGCATAATGATATAAGTACCCGTCGGTTGGTGTTGTTCAAAGTGCATCAGTATCGATGTTATAAGTCATGTAAAAACATCGGTACGGTTCAAACTGTGAATATTTAATGAGTGACAAAATAAAGCAACAAAATAAAAAATCAAGTTAACAAAAAATATCAGCAACACGGTTTACCACACTTTTTTTTTCAACGCAAAGAATTAAGAAATTAACTATTTAGTATATTACTTACAATTGACTTCAATATCTATCTCAACAGACTGTGAATTGCTGGCACTTACTGGATGAATAACTTGACAGATATAGAGACCAGCATCATATCTGGTGATACTTTGTAACTTAAGAACACCGTTAGATGTCGGTACTACATTTCCTGGTTCAATAGATTTGTGATACCATGCAATTGTACAAACTGGACCGCAATCAACTGAACAGGTTATTGGTGGCACGGAACTTCCTTCTTGTTGAGGTGCAACGCTATTGGGATTTAATTGAAGAAGTTCTGGACCATCTGAAAGAGCAGATGTTTAAAGAATCCTCGGCATAAGAAATATTCACATTCAAGTTAAATGACTTAAGTTGACATTCTCTATCTTTAGACGAATAACCTGTATGTGTTACGAAACGTATTATGTAGTGCATTCAGAAGTAGTATAAGCATATCCATATATCGTGTGTTTATTATTGTCAATCTTTCAACTTCTAGATGTTTCATGAATATAAGATGGATAATTTTATCAGAGAGAACTGAAAACCAATTCGTTACTTACAGTGAACCGCCAATACCAGTTCTTTGATCAATTCACTATTCAGGATGCCTGGATTTTCCACATGGCAAATGTAAGTCCCAGCTTGTACACGCTTCATGTTTTTAAGATCCAATACCCCATTAGTGGTTGTTACCAAATCTTTGAATTCTTTATACCAGTCTCGTTCACAGTAAGGATTACATGCATCATGGGTACACGACACAGGTGTCATATCATCTCCTTCATTAACTGCATCCAATGTTGGTGGTGATAAAGAAGACTCAGTGGGTCCATCTACAAAGATCAAAAGTGGTAGTTATTATAATAGTTCTAGTGATTAATAGAGACCGTAGTATCATATGGGTTGTCAGCATGTCATTCCTCATGCCCATCTCAATGATCAAGTTATTCAAAATATCACTAAGATGGATTCATAGGAGCTTTTCTGTCGTGATAGCATGTGTGAAGTTGAAAACAATGGACACAATGAGATTATATGATACCAGAGATACTTACAATACACATAAAATAGCTTCAAACCAACTTCAACTGTGCCTAAGAGACATCTGATCTTCATGTTATCATCTGTACCAGTTAGAGTGATGCTCAATATTGAATCCTGTGTGTGAGAACATTCACCTGGATTCGGAGGATTTAATGATCCGGTAGTTATACTTCCTGCGTCCGGATAAGGTTCCCAAGTGGAGGATCCGGAAAGTTGCCTTTCCCAATTCCACGTTTGTGCTGGATTACCAACTTTGCCACCGCAAGTCAATAACACAACATCATTTTCAAAGAAGACTATTTTGTCGGGGTTGGCAACCATGTTCAATTCTGACGATCCAGCTGCAAAATATGAATTATTGCAAATATTAAATCCAAGTGAAACAATCTTTCCTACAGTACTGCTCTGATATAGTTTAGATTGGTATTTTGGTGTGCTGCGTGCGTTGTTCCCTGACCACTGAGACATTTCCCATTTATAGCCGTGTTAGGCCCAGCATATTACCATCCGCTAGCGCATACGACTAACCAGACTATTTGAAAATACAAACATCAACATGTCTTACTTTGAACTGTTACAGATTGTGTCAATTGTGGATCAGGAGAGATAGGTCCAACACCATGAGCCGCTTTAATAACGCATGTGTAATCAGCTCCATCGGTGCAGTCAGGATCACTTATCTCTACTTGAAGAAAGTCTGTTGGAGAATAACTTGGCCCTGGTAATTGCCCACTTATGGTATATTTTGATGTATCGAACCCTGTACCAGCAGTAGCAGAGCCGCCAAGAACAATGGAGGCCATCTGCTCAACGCCCTTGCGTATTGATATGTTGTCGAGGGTTGTGATTCCCAAGTCAGTTGCTGCAGAACATTTCACCGTCAGATGTGTAGCTTCTGGTGAAACAATCAATCCTGGTAAAATGTCGAGGATCACACAGTTTCCTGCAAAATAGGTCACTTAACCCTTCACCAAAAGCACTCTTTAACGAACAATATCAACGATATTTTCAATGATTTCATGGTAAACATTCTGCTCGTTTCTTCTATAACAGAAAACTATTGCAGTAAATATCAGCGTTTACCTGCCAAATGTGAAACTGATCTTGTAATATATTCCATTATATGCATCGTATGGTACATATAAAACTAAGGGTGGTGGCCTTACCTTTGTCAACAGAAAAGGCAACAATAAATGAGAAGAGATAGATTTTACAGAACATCCCGAATATCATGATGCCTTCAACCGTACTTAAATCCCGGGATATGGCTTCTTTTTAATCTGCGACATGGTTTTATACAATTTGTGTAGTTTTGTGTGATTTTATCGATGACGATAAAATTGAAGAAGTCATATTCCTCGTCTTTAAGATTCATAAAATGGGTGAAAATTATGAATTGTTGGTTTGTTTATTACCATCAAGCACATACTTCAGTCATTGAAGATAGGGTGGTTTCCAAGGCTGACTATTGTTTGTATTTATTTTGTAATCGGTAAGTCGTTCACAAATAGTAATTGCTGTCTGAAAAAGCTACTATATAGGCTATAGTGGAATAGTGATCTGGAAAATCATTTGTTTGGATATTCATGTGAAAGGACTTGCAAAGAAATGTATCTTTGAAATTGCAGCGCAATGCGAATAAAGCACCGAATCTTTCCACAGCCATATGGCTATATCTATGTAAATAGGTAACCGGCGCATTTATCACTTACATAACGAATTCGTAGACGTGTGGACTTTTTCTAAGATGTGGTGGTGCCACAAAAACGAATTAATTATAATGAATATAAATGAGTTTTAAGCAATAGTTTCACCTCGCAAATTATTATCAGACACCACTCAGTACCTTGAATGCGATCATTAAAGTGTCACCTCTTATTTCCAATTTCACCGACCGCCCACCTCCACCCGACATAAATTTACGATTCATGCTAACAGAGTTAATTGAAATATTTTAATATCCATAACTCTCTACAATTGAATTAAATTTAGATTACAAGCTGTATCTTTTTTCTGAAATTTTTTTAATCTGCATTGCAGACTAAAATGTGAGGAATTACGACATTGTTAAAGATTGTTCTCTTCAATTTTGTACCTTTTATGGCTTTTATCCTATGTTTGTCGATCCACTCGTTCAAAAATATTGTTACATTTACAACCTAAATCGACACGAATAAATCTTCGTATGTGTGTATTGAAACGTGTAGAGTATATAAACATAATCCACGTACGAAACCCGAAATCCAAAAAACATTTTGGCGAAATAGTGGTAGCAGCTAAGAAACTTTTCACATGAGGAAGTATATCAACCATAAGTAAATAAGTATTTCATAATGAAAAGTGGTATCAAATGTGCATATGCTGCCTGGCGCCACACCCGTCATAGCTGTTAACATACACAACTACAAATAGGAACGAGCGAACAAAACATTTGCGACTTGACAACAAGTTCATGAGACGTAACCCATGAAAATACATTGATCCAATATCAATAGTCAAGGGAGGGAACTGATGACAATAATTGTTATATTATGATAAGAAACAGTGTGGCAAACATCCGAATCCATGAGAAAGCATATAATGATGAAAAGTAGCATTAAGTTATCAGAAGAGTAAGCATGCCCTGCCTGGAAGCACACCTGTCATTGCTGATTAAAACAACATAGGAGTTGATGCTCTTGCCACACAATCTTTGTGGCGTTGTTAATGCGTAAGACTATCAGGACCACAAAAAACAAACACATTAGAACAGCGTTCACACAGAGTTTATTATAACCAAAATATCATAAAACCATAAATATGTGGACAATGCTGAATCTAACAAGATATGATAGGATATTTGACGATTAACTGAAAAGATACAAAATTACAATAACAAGTAACTATTCATATAATTCGAGAAATTGTACTTTCACTTTCCATATGTGGCAATCGACAGTGCGCGCTAATCATCCGTGACGACTCATTGACGATGGAAAAATTTCAGACGCAAACTTTACATATAAATTACGGGACAAATACAAAATGACAGGGAGTTAAAGACCGCTAGAAATGTTCTACGATATACATTAAATAAGATAACATAAAAACATACCAAATTGTCAACCACCAAATTTTCAACCACCAATCTCCACAAATAACAGAAATAAGTTAGAACGATAAAGACTTGACCAGAATGTCAGCCATGCTCTTTGAGAAGGAATCTATTACGTCACATTGACCAGTTCGTGTTACTATCGGTTAAGGGTCGGTTCGTTTATATTAACCTGTGCTCTACATATTCCGACCTCCTAATTGTGATAACCTAGTGGCCACAATTACAAAATCATAAAAAATCATTAAGACAAAATTGATAAACTTAAAACCCTTAATTCTTCTTTAGAATTTCAACCAATAAAGTTAACCAAATGTATTCAACTTAAGATCGTAACTAATACATAATACAAAGTATATGTGATTTATTAATTAGAATGGTTAAACGCCTTAATCGTCGCACTCAAGTATTAAACACAGTTTTGTAATAGGACATTTGAGTGTAGCCGATTGCGTTTTAACGGTTGCGATTCGCGATAGACCACCTTTATCTACTACGACATGTACGATGCGACCTAAGGCCCACGAATTTCGAATGTTACAATCGATAACTACAACTATATCATCGATACACACGTTGCGTGTTGGATAAAACCACTTTTGACGTTCTTGAAGAGTTGTTAGGTAATCACTTGACCATCTCTTCCAGAAAATATCACACAAGTACTGAATTCGTCTCCATCGACGTTTGATATAACCATCCGTTTTATCTGTTACGGTAGGAGAGTAAGACGAATTATGAAATCCATTCAATAAATGACTTGGGGATAGTGCATCCAAGTCATTAGGTACTTTTGGAACCTTTGATATAGGCCTGTTATTAAGGATTTGTTCCACATCACAGAATAAGGTTTGTAGACACTCGCCATCTAATCGTCCAATTTGATCATTTTCAATCGAACACAAAACTTTAGAACTGAGCGTATTAGGCGCTCCCAAACGCCACCGAAGTGGAAGGCTGCTGGCGGGTTGAAGTCCCACTGGATAACCTTTTGACTGAGCTCCTTTGTTAATCTGTGCTGATTCCAATTGTTAATACAATCTTTTAGCTCACGTTGAGCTCCAACCAAGTTGGTTCCATTATCGGAGCGGATGAATTTGGGTACTCCTCTTCTCGCAATGAACCGCCTGATGGCATTTATACAAGAAACCGTATCGAGAGATGAGGCAACTTCTAAATGCACGACTCTACTATTCATACAGGTAAATATAACACCGTAACGTTTAATTACTGATCTTGCACGTTTTATTTCAAAAGGACCGAAATAATCGACACCTGTTCGGTTAAAGGGAGCTTCACCTGAAATAACTCTTTCAACCGCAAGGTCTGACATTTTTTGGTGCATTCTTTTGGCAGCATATTTCCGACATCGAACACATTTCGAAATCACAGACTTTATTAAATTACTTGCACCCAAAATCCAATATTTCTTACGTATATAAGAAAGTGTAGCGTTTTTTCCTAGATGTCCTACTTGAGAATGAGCATCTCTAATTATTAATACTGAAACTGGAGATAATTTAGGTAAAATGATTTGATGTTTAGAGTCAAGACACATGTCTGCACGGCTTAAGCGTCCGCCTACGCGCAACACTCCTGAATCAACAAATGGGTCTAACTTTTTTACACCACTGGATTTCATAACTTTAATGTTCTTTTTTCGGTTATATTCTCGCAAATTTTAACCACATCATCTAAATGTTTTAATTGTTCGTGTTTAACAACAAATAGTTTTGACTTTTCAATTTCTTCTGTTGTAACTACAATATCATCTTGGTCGACATTAGAACTTTATTTCTAAATTTTCTAAAAACTAATCGAAGTAAAGTTACTGCACGAATTAAACGCGTCCAGCTTGAAAAATAGTTTATGAGTTTATCCACTGGATCTTCAAAAATATTCACAGCCTGAACTAAATTAACAGACCGCTTTACCTCTGGATCATCATTTAAATCTGGTAATTGGTCTAAAACTGATTATCTAGGCCAATGTTCTTCAGTTTCCCATAGAATTACTGTTCCAAACACTTCAGGTTTAATACATCTAGACAAATTAAGATTTTCTAAGAGTGGCAATTCATCCATAAACTTTGACCATTTTATTGCATCATTATTATCGATCTTCTCGTCCCACGATAATCCGGTTTGACATTTCTGTAAAAGTCTTTTTGCGGGGAGTAAAGCAGGAGCTGCAAGACCTAAAGGATCGTAAAGCTTATCCACTTGTGTAAATGAAAGCCGCCTGATTTACACAATTCTATCAGATCTTTAACTAAGTTCACAGCATCTGATTCATTATCTAATGAATGTAAACAATCGTCCACATAAAAGTCATTAATTAATGTATTAATTACTTCGTCGGGATATTCACCGACATTATCACGAGCAATTTGTTGCAATGCGAAATTCGCACACGATGGCGAAGATACTGCCCCGAATAAATGCGCAGTCATTTGATATTGTTTAGGTTCTAGACTTAAGTCACCATTGGGCCACCATAGAAAGCGTAAGCTGCAACGATCTTCAGGAACGCGAACTTGATGAAACATACTTTCGAGATCCGAAATTATCGCTATACGTCCTAACCGGAACCTCATCAAAACACCTAAGAGGCTGTTAGCGAGATCGGGTCCAGACAACAAAACATCGTTTAAAGATATACCTTGGAATTTTGCCGAACAATAAAAAAAAATTCGCAATTTTTGCTTACGTTTGTGGTATACTCCATGATGTACTACGAACCACAACTTATCACGATCGACACCAATTTCCGATTCTGGAACTAATTCGGCATAATTTTTAGACAAAATCGAATTAATAAATTCGACATAATCATTATAAAACTTTTCGTTTCTAGATAACTTGCGTTTAAGGCTTTCTAATCGATCCTTAGCCATATTATAATTCTTAGGTAATACAATATTATCATTCTTAAATGGTAAATTAATTTGATAATGCATGTCATCATCCTTAACTATAGAACCTCGAACTTTATTTAAGAATATATTATCTAATATAGAATTTTCCATACGATCGACATGATCGGGGAAATCAAAATCTAAGCCATGTCTTACATATCTATCTAAGATTGACAGGTGTTCAATTTCCTGAACAGTTTTAATATCTAAGCGATTGACTACAGTACTATTACTATATAAAGTTGGACCTTCCCTAACCACATTCAATAATATCCAGCCTAGCGCTGTTCTTGTAGCATGTGGGGTACCACGAGGGCCTACTCTAATATCAAAAGGGGTATATGCGTCAGCTACATTGCTACCTATGATTACACCTATATCACAATTTACATCGGGAATACTAACATCAGATAAATGTGAATACTGAATAACATCGCCTGTGGTTGGAATATGATCTGACGTCACAGGTATTTTATCTATACTTTAGCACTTGGGCAAAGTAACTGAATCCTTTAGATTATAACTAAATACTTGTACATTGTCGACAACCGATGCGTTTATGGATGAGGTATTGTTCATTGTTTCTAATAACAACTTACTACTTTTACCTTTGATATTAAGTTGTGCCAAAAGACTTTCTGTAATGAAACATACTGAGCTACCGACATCCAAAAATGCATAAGTATCGATAGTTTTACCACCTGAAACTACTTTTATTGGAATTATTGGCATAGCACAAAAATTAGTATCGCAGTCTCCGGCCTCCATAGAGGCACAAGCCGAGGACTTAACCTTGCTAACATTTGAGCTTAAAGTATCAGAAGTAACATCCGAATCTGTAATTTCATTTTCTACGAACTTGTCAACTCTATTACCATTATTGGCTACAGGTTTTGCATAAGAGTCATTGTGTAATACAGTAGGATGCTGTAATTGACAAATAGAACAAGATAATTTGTTCCAACATTTAGCCTTTTGATGACCAAACTTAAGACATCCGAAGCACAATTTCTCTTTTGCAATAAACTGGGCTATTTCATCCTTAGATAATTTAGCTAATTTTCTACAATCACCTACAAAATGATTAAAATTACAAAATTTACATCTTAAAACGGGTTTGTCTGGTGTACCAGAATCTTTTAAATTTGTACTGAAAGTTTTACCTACTACTGGTTTTGGTTTAAAGTAATTACTAGTGCTAGAACTAGTTGATATAGAATTTTCGGCATTTGCTATTGCCTCACGACCGAAGATAGGGTCATTCAATTTACGAGCTTCATTTTGCACGAAGTCAACAAAATGCTTAAAACAAAAATCTTCCTTTTCTGAATTTCAAGTTCTCGATTTCTCCATCTATCGTGCATATAATTAGGAAATTTACCAACTAAAATCTGAATATTATTATTATAATTAAGAGTTTTCATAGAATCGATAGTTTTAACAGCATATAAACATTCTGCTAAGAATATACCAAATTTATCTAATAAAGCATGATTATCTGCCTTTATTTTCTTAAAGTCTAATGCACGTCTGATATAAGTTGAAGCAATTCTATCAGAGTTTCCATATCTATGACGCAAGTCTTTCATGGCTTCGTCAAAACCTTTCTCACCACCTATGTTCGAGTAACAACAGACAACATCATGGGGCTGGCCGTAAGTATAAGTTTCTAAATAGTTTAACTTTTCTTCGCTAGAACTGCAATGAGCAAAGACCTGCGATTCCATCTGTCTCATAAACTTTAGAAATTCACCTCCAAATTTCTTTATCTCTACCTTAGGTTTTCTTAAAGATTGAATTAAATCTTTATTAAATATTAAATCAGAAATAATATTTTCTGTATGGGCGGGGGGAACTCTGTTAGCTGTAACCTGAGACACTACACTACCGTGCTCACCCAATGCCTTTTGATCAGCTTTCGATTTGGCTTCTGCTATCGCCACTGCTGACTCCAGGTTAAGTTTTTCTTCTCTGAGTTTGATTTGCAATTTTTCTATCTCGAAGTTTTGCTTCTGTGCAAGATATCTTTGTTTTTCTTGAAGAACAGCTACATCTTGTTCTCTCTTCAACAATATTGCAGGAAAATGAGAAGGATGATCAATTTGTGATATACTGTCATTCGGTTGTATATTTGGTTGTATGCAATCGTAATATGGTGGAGGGATAGAGTTCGGTTTATTAAGCTTTAACCATTCATCAGTATATCTACGGAATTGTCTTATCTCTGATTCAAATTCTTTATATTCACCAGATAATAAACTTCTCTTTCAGAATCATCTAGAACATCTTGGTATTCGTTATGAACAATTTGATACTCTTCTAAAATGTTTAACCATGATTTGTACGAATCCATAATTGGATTATAATCACTTGATGTTACCATGTTATACTGCAACTCTTTCATTTTACTACTGGTGTCATTTACGAGCAGTTTTCTACGTAAATTCAAACTATCAACAAGGAACTTTTCCTTCGGATTACTTATAGATTGAACATTAGTCTCAGTATTTTCGACAGTATTAGTCTGCATATTGATACTGTCATGTTCTTCTAAATTTTCACCATTATTTTGACCATTAGAACCATTATTTGCTCCATCTTCGGTACCATGAACTGACATATCTTCACCGTTCCGACTCATAACTAATGTTGAATTTGTATTATGTGGCGTTGTTAATGCGTAAGACTATCAGGACCACAAAAGCCAAACACATTAGAACAGCGTTCACACAGAGTTTATTAAAACCAAAATATCATAAAACCATAAATATGTGGACAATGCTGAATCTAACAAGATATGATAGGATATTTGACGATTAACTGAAAAGATACAAAATTACATTAACAAGTAACTATTCATATAATTTGGGCAAGAGAGAGACTCTTTAAATACTACAGAATGTAAACAAAGCTATTCGAGAAATTGTACTTTCACTTTCCATATGTGGCAATCGACAGTGCACGCTAATCATCCGTGACGACTCATTGACGATGGAAAAATTTCAGACGCAAACTTTACATATAAATTACAGGACAAATACAAAATGACAGGGAGTTTAGGACCGTTAGAAATGTTCTACGATATACATTAAATAAGATAACATAAAAACATACAAAATTGTCAACCACTAATCTCCACAAATAACAGAAATGAGTTAGAACGATAAAGACTTGACCAGAATGTCAGCCATGCTCTTTGAGAAGGAAGCTATTACGTCACGTTGACCAGTTCGTGTTACTATCGGCTAAGGGTCGGTTCGTTTATATTAACCTGTGCTCTACAATCCTGTTTGATATTTTTGACCACTCGTGGCGGATGGCACTTTCTCAGACGACGAACACAACGCGCATGCATTATTTGTATTCATCTCAGAACTGTATATGGCCCACTTTGAAGATCAATACCTCTCGAACTCACCCATCACACCAGTGTGTTGGCTACGCAAAGTTGATATCTTCACCATCCTTCCAACAAACGCTGATCCTGCAACACTATTACATCACTTCAACTCCGTCCACCCAAGAATCCAATTCACTGTTGAAACTGAAATGAACAGCCAGCTCCCTTTCCTAGACATACGCATACGTATACAAAACCAACCCACATCGACCAATACATCAACTACAAGTCTAATCACCCTAACCGAACTAAGAAGAATGCCATCAAGGCATTAGTTACCAGAGCCAAGTCAGTATGTAGCCACCCAGACAGTAATAAGGAAGAAATCAACCACCTAACCAATGTATTTTGCAGATACAATCAATACCCTCATAATTTAATATCAGACACCATCAACCATATGAACCAACCTACTCAAACCATCACCAAACCTGACCAGCCACCCATCAACATGACCATTCCCTTTATAGGACCCACGAGTCCACAACAACCAACAAAGATATGCAAAAGGATATTGTCTACCAGATCAAGTGTAATTGTGGTGCAGCTTATATAGGTGAAAGTAAACAACCATTGAAAATGAGAGTAAGACAACATAAGACCTCTTGCAACATGGTTAATGGGAAATCAGCCTTAAGCCAGCATCTGATCGAGAATCCAAACCATATTATCCAATGGAAGCCATTCTCACCAACCTCCCTGATGACGCTACCCGTAAATACCATGAAAGCATCATGATTAAGAAACTTCAACCTGAACTGAATAGAGACCAAGGATATCAACTACCAAGAATTTGGGACACCCTGTTGTTGTAATTAACCCTTTGAACTCTCCTAAGATTACTTTCATCTTCTACTCAGTAGTGGCTTCTAAATCTTACCTATCTTAATCCGTGTAATTACCTTTGATCATCCCTAATTAACTGCTCACTTACATGTCTTCTCTTTTGCCTTTGTTGTTTCTATTGTTATTGTTACCTACATATATACTTGTTACTTATTGTTGGTGCCCATTATTAAATTCCTGATAACGGTGTGAGAACCACATTGAAACGTTGAAGTAATAGATATTCTAGAAGTATCTATCCATAAAATTGTCTTATTTTTCTATAACCTGTGCTTCTAATATGCCTTTGAAAGATTAATATTACATAATGAATTAACCCAAATGAAAAGCTCAGTAGTAACGCGGGATTGGTTGTTTTATACCTTTGCACCACTCGCCGCACTTACGAACTTTATTCTTCAGTTTGATTTGCATATTAGGTCCAATCTTACCCATGCTTCCGCCTAGTAAAGCTATCTATCCAAATCTGATCACAGACAATTTTCCGAACTATGGCGGATCTCGCTTGCCCACTAGCCGTGTCGAGGTAGAATCGACCTGAGCAAGATAATCACTGACTATTCTTTATCAAAAGATTAACACTGTAATGTCAATTTATTATATGGTTGTAAAATACATAAAAATCATAGTCAAAAGCTATTCATGGCATTATGTGGCATCTGAGATAGTAATGCTTTTTTCTAGTCATTGTAGTATCAGTGGCCAGATTCACCTTCCACGAACATCCACGTATTTTTCAATGACTTATGATCTATACCTTTTTCAAAATACAGTGTAAGCTGTGGACATTATATGTAATAATTATGTTTTATAAAGAATAAATCAACTAATTTTAATATATGTTGATAGATGCAAAAATCGCGAGATTTAATTTACGATATTATACAAATAAATAGGTAAAAGAGGTATGACTGTTCTTTTTTTATATTTCAATCCATTCACGAACGGTCTATATTCACCACCAAGTCAAACTGGACAGAGTACCAGTGCTAGTAAACTGCACACCAAAATGATAAATTTAGCATAGTTTTCACAGCCACCTAAAATGGATAGTAAAACAAAATTAAAGAAACAGACATTGATGGTGTGAGGGGAACTCTCAATAATATTGAAAAAATAAAGACTCCCGATAGATTCAGGAGAGAGATGAGCTTGATGTTAAATTAGTATAATCTTGTTTCTCAGTAAAAAAAGGATTTAGTAGCACGGCAAAGTTTACACAAGGTAAATTTCATGATCTTGGATCTGTCATTTATTACCGTAATGTACTTTGTTAAGGGCAGACCGAATTTCGTAGGCATTTATCATTATCCTTTATTCAAAATATTAACAAATATGCTTACCATTTTTGTCATTGCTTTTAACTTTTAGGGTTAATGATATGCTAAGGTCTTCGTTTTCGTCTTTAATGCACCGAATATCCGATCCATCATCGTCAGCATTTATTGTAATCGATATGGTTGTATCCTGTCGGTAAGAACATCCATCATCGGACGGATCAGAAACAGTGAAATTAACATAATCTGCCCATTCTTGGCCATTTGCCGAGGATTTCTGCCATTTCCATGACGGATTTGTACCAGAACTGAATTCTCCACTGCATGTAAATGACACACTCTCGTCTACTTCATACTCTTCTTTGGATGGTTCAGTTGTAATATGTACTTCCGATGAGGGGCCTGAGAGAAAAATTTTCTGTATAGTAAATGAGTATACCCTTGCTACAATTTATCTATATGTTTATATTATTTAACACAATAAGTACCTTAGAAAATTGCCACAAAAACTCATTAGTGAAACAATGAGTTATACATACGTGAAAATGTGCCAAACGCTGTTCATATTTCGGATGTAGCTGATTAAATCCTTAAGTTGGAACGTAACTTAACCTCATGGCTACTTACAATGGACGTGTATTTCTATTTCAACTGTTTTGGAGCTGTTAACTATTTCAGCCTGGTTCACTTCACAGATGTACAACCCAGCTTCGTTACGGTAGATATTTGGTAAGTTTAATACACCACCAGTAGCTGGTTTGATATAACCAGATTCCTGGGACTGGAAATACCAAGTGAACTGGCATACTGGGTTGCAGTTGGCCGAGCAGGTCACTTGCAAAGAGGTACCTTCGGCCACAGAGTCAATATTGTCTGGTTTTATTTGGACCAATTCTGGACCATCTGCAATTGAAAAGTTCATACTTGAATATAACCAAAGATAAAAACAAACGTACTCAATTAAGATTAATCAAGATTTGAATTAAAATCAAACAATAGTGAATCCACGTGGTGGATACATTGAACATATATTTGACTAAACGTTTGTTTATGCTCACATTAACTCAACATGCGCAATGTTGTCATAGTGTTCGTAAAAATAAAATACATGTACTAAGTTAAGATGCACTCGTTGGGTTGACAGTTTTGCAATGGCGAAAATCGTACCACATATTATCAAAACTTACAGTAAACTTGTAGATCTATGGAATCATTCAAGCGTCCATCAGAATTAAAAGGGTGTGAAACTTCACAGTAGAAGATGGCTTGTTGTGACCGGCTAACATTGAATAATTCCAGCTCTCCATTTACACCACTAATAAGATTTCCATCATCAATGCTGCCATTATACCATTTGATATCACATTTCGGGTTGCAATGTGTCCAACATGGGATCGGTGCTACATCTTCAAATTCTATCAGCCCAACAGTTTTTGAGGAGTTGATGTGGATAAAATCGGGCCCATCTTTTGCAAAAAATAGAAATTGTTATAACAGTAAACAGTAAAACATACATAGGAACGAAAAGCTAACAGAATATAAATACGATAAATGATTAGTTGGGTTCAACTGTATGTGCGTTTCATGAAATAAAGAAAATAGAAAATATACATGGAATATAATTTGAATTTAGATATGGTTATTGAATGTGTGATGATTAATTTAAATTGGATATCTGACATATACCGTAAAGTACACCCTTTATTTTATACAGCAATCACTTCGTGGAATGTATAATTCAATGCACAACATAGTTACTTACAATAAACTTCCACAGCAAAGTTCTGTTCTATTTCGCTTCCGGGTATTGCGGAGTTAAAAACCTTGCATATGTAAGTTCCAGCTTCTGATCGGTTAACGTTCATTAGTTCCAAGACGGCATCGTTTGTTATTAAAGTGTTATCTTTGAACCACTCTAGTTCACAGGGAGGGTTACAATCATCATGACTGCATGTTACTGGTGCCATATCATAACCTTCTAATATGGGGTCAATTATTGTAGGAGTCAAATCAACACTTTTTGGACCGTCTGGAAGGAATGAAACAAAGGAGAAAATATAACAATCAATATTTTGTTTGGAATTCAAATCAGATGACATCATTTTCGTATTAAATAGATGATAAAAACAATTCCCGATTTCTTGAAAATTATGGTTCCATACTAGATCCTTGTATATAAAGGGAGGATAAAAGAGCTATACGATTGAAGCCCAGGTCCACTGGCGATTCACTTCATCTAGATGCATCCATATAGCAGAATTGTTGCCAATTTTTTTTAATTTAACGCAGTATAACCACATTTATATACTCACAAACAACTTCCAAATCAAGGCTCTGTGTCATTTCACTGCCGGGTTTTGTGGGGTGAGAAACCTTACATATGTAAGTTCCAGCTTGTGATCGGTCAACATTCGTCAGTTCCAGTACTCCATTATTGGTTGGTACCAGATTGTTTTCATTGTACCATCCTTGTTCACAGTAAGGATTGCAATCAACAGGACTGCAAGTTACGGGTGTCATAGCATTGCCTTCTATTATGGGATCAATAGTTGGCGGTGTTAAATGAACACTGTTAGGACCATCTATAACATTCAAAAACATTTTACTTAGAATTTCAACTTTATGGATTATGGGTGTGATTAACTGGTTAATCGATAATATTCTTCGTGAAGTTTGACAATAAATGGATCAATTCTCTTTAAAAAGGGTTTCTTTGGCAGAATTGCATCGGATGTTGTTGGGATAGATAAAATCAACCAAGACAATGTTATTATTTGTTCCTCACAAATCGAAGGTACTGACAAACTCTGCGTTCACAAGAAATCGACATCAAATGCGATCCCCGGAATTCGCTTTCGTTGCAGCTCATTCAATTTGAAGCGATTCGATGCGGTACAAAACACGTCACACGACAGCGCTATAGCGCGGTACAAATCAATGTGCCCTCAACAACCTATCCCTTAAACTTCTTACATAGATTGAAGGTCATTCATTCCAAGATGGATTCGCCCGAGAATCAACATCATACACTCTAAGGATTTAAAGCGCATTAAACCGCTTTAAAAGGCTAATGTGAACACGACAAAAGACACAAAAGAAAAATAACACCATCAGTTAATTTACACTGCAGTTTTTTGACAGGTGAAACATGAATTTGTCTGAACATTGTCTTACTCAAAGGGAGTAAGTATGAGAAGTGATTTGATGGTGTCAGTCAATGAAATAAAAACGAAGTGCCTTTATCATTAGATATGTTCGCAGGTTACTATATTTTATGACTTCTGACGCATTCAAGATTTAAAATGACAAAATTTAAAGATTGATATAGAGTGATTTATAGTCAATGAATTTTTATGTTTATATTGCTATTTATGGCTTAGCACAGGATAGATATTGACATAGTGAAATGAAACTACAGTCGTAAATGAAAAGATATATCGGAGCCTTGGTTTGTGAACCTGTTAAATGCCACGGCGAAGGTGGACGTCACCTGCCCAATATTGTTTCAACACACCAAAAAGCTCGAATGTTATATTGTGCTAGTCGATACACCTTAAAAAAAAATTAATGAATTGTTGCTGTTATAAATGTCATGTCAACCAAATGTTGAGAAAATCTGAAATGATTATTTGTACAGTTTTTTGTATGACTGTGTTTATGATATCCAAATGTAGATCAAAAAAAGAATTCTATATATAACCCTGTTTGCGAAGTTTAAAAGTAATTTTATTTCTCGTAAAAAAAAATTTATATGCAAAATATGCTCGTGCGTTACAAATGAAACGAAAATTGATATTTATGAAAATAAAATTATCAATTTTGGCATTGACCTTTCTGTAATTCAAATAATATAGTAATGCTTTACTATGCTTCAGATACTGGAATTGAGCAGGTCAGGCTAATTCTCCTGTAGTCATTTTTTGCATGTATATCAGTTTTCAACATTCATACTTACAGTGAACATCTACACTGAGACTAGCTGTCATTTCGCTGTCGGGTATTGTTGGGTTAGAAACCCTACATATGTAAGTTCCAGCTTGTGATCGTTCAACGTTCGTCAGTTCCAGAACTCCATCATTGGTTGGTACCAGATTGTTATCTTTGTACCACTCTAGTACACAGTAAGGATTACATGTGCCGTGATTACATGTTACAGCACTGATGTCGTCTCCTTCAAACACAGGATCAACTGATGGTGGTGTAAGGGTAACTAAACTGGGTCCATCTGGAAAATATACAAATTTGAAGACACCGGAATATTAAAACTAGCTCATTTGAAACCACCTAGAAATTAATCGTATGGAAATGTTCTTTATCGAGCCACTTTCTGTCTCGCAAGGTCGTTAAAAAAATGTTTTGAATTTTGGATGGAAATTGCGTATCGATGTTCTTATATCTACAGGAAGGAGTACGCTAATCATTGATTATGCTTTCAGATTATTGTACCTTTATGACAGTTTAAGATTTAACACGTTACAATTTGAAGATTGATATAAATTGATATAAAGCGTTGTTCTGAAATTTTTGGAGAAAATTGAAAAATCTTGCAGATATCCCAGAGTACGATCAATCCCATTGCATCAATGCTCCTTCAAGACATTCTGATCATAAAACATATGTTGGAATTATTGTAGGATTACCATATGTATTTTTTTTTTAGATCATGGAAATGAAATTGTCCCATGTCTGTCGTTCTGTTTCTATTTCATGTACACAACCCTCGCGCCGAAATTCAATTTTCAAACTGTACGTATGTTAGTGACATGAATGTGCGTATTCTAATATCCTTTCCCCAATACAATAGGCATTTAACAATAGATATAATAGATAGGGTGTTGATTTTTACATTTCAGACAAGGGTGAATTCGATTCCAATTATTACAGTTCTCGCGATCAGTGAAATGAACAGCTAAGTAGTAAAAATCGGTATAAGAATGCCCAGTATCTCTTGTTATCGCAAAGCGTCAATAAATTGGCAAGAGAAAACGGTGCATATCACTTACAATATACTGTGAAATCTTTCAATCCAACTACCACACCATCCATTAAGCATCGTAGAGACATACCATCTTCAGGGGATTTCAGTACTTTAGTCAGTACAGATTCTCGAGAAAAAGAACATTCGCCTGCGCTAGGAGGAACCAGCGCACCATTAGTAATATCGCTTGAGTCAGGATACGATTCCCAATCCAATGCACCTGAAAGTTTTCTCTCCCATAACCAAGGTTGGACTGGATCTCCGACTTTCCCAATACAGGTTATTGTGACTTCATCATCTTCGAAATAAATAATTTTATCTGGATTGACACTGAACGTAAGATCTGATGGACTAGCTGAAAATGAATTTTTGTAACATATCTAAAATGAAATACAATAAACTTAAATTAATTACTAACGACCCGAACTTCATAACAAAACCCGAAATTCCAAAACAAGATTTTGACGAAACATTGGTAGCAGCTATTGAGCTTTTCACATGAGGAATTATATCAATCATAAGTTAGTATTTCATAATGAAAAGTAGTATCAGGTGTCTAGAAGAGTAAGGATACCATGCCTGGCACACACGCCATTGCTGCTGTACATTCACAACACACACTACAAATAGAAACGCGCCAACTGAAGAAATAGCAAATTCATTGATTCATTATGTATGGTAGCCCGAAGAGGGATCACAATCTGATGCATACCAATTTTGTTGGTGAATCAATGTCCGAAATCCTACGTCACCGTCCAAATTTTAGCACAAACTAAGTATGTACAAACAATTTCGCTATCATGATCAAAATCGATGAGTATCTTTGCACAACTACAAACACACAAATATTAATGATATTTAAATGTATGTTTAATTGCTTACTTTCAACAGTGATAGATTTGATATCTTCAGGATTCGGACTTATTGGTCCACCACCATTACTCGCTGAAAGTTTACATTTGTATTCGTTTCCATCACCGCAGTCTGGATTTGCAATATCAACTTGAAGAAAATTTAATGGCTCCGTATTGGGCAAATTTCGGCTTGCTGTATATTTCATGGAATCAAAACCTGTATGAAGTTGTGGAGGATTACCGCCCACTATGGATGCCATCGGTTGATCATCTTTATACAAGTAAATTGCAAAGATGTCCGTTATGTCGGATCCGGAAGCAGCGGTGCATTTTAATGTTAATGTCGGAGTGTTTGGTGGGACCGTTTCACCAGGAAGAACTTCAATAGAAGCCCCATTTCCTGACAATAGAAAACAAAGTTAACCGCATTAAAACAATATAAATCAAGGATGACTTTACTTCGTCCTATCCCCAACATCTGGATCTGGACCATTCACGCACAAGTTTCGTGATTTCATTTCTTTGTTTGGTGAATAAAAATAAATATTAAGGAAATTTTATGTTAGTATCGGAATTTGAAATTAAACTTTTAGTCCTACTTTTCTGCGTCTAACTGATCTAATGAAGTCCCCGTGATACTCACTCGGTCCCCGGATTTGTTTTGAATTTGTTAATGATATCGTGCTGATTAAATAAAAATGTTATTTTTGGGTTCAAGTGTATATGTCACAAGATTTTTATGGAATAATTACTTACCTTTTCTGATGGCAATACATATGACGATAATAAAGTAAAATATATGTGAGGTAAACGACATCCTGAGATTCTGTTCTATCGACCGAATGGAAACTTTTGCAATGATTGCTGTGATCATTTCAATCTGATTTTATGATGTTTATAAAAATTTGAAGAGGTAATACTGCCGTTCTTAAACACCAATCAAATTTAGAAAAGCTCTGAAATATGTACCTATTTATTACTTTCAAACAAATACTTGAATCATCGAAAAGGGTGGTTACCTGTTTGTTACCAAGGTTAATGCACTTCTATACTTTATGTCTAAACTGTTAGACATATAAACAGTACTTCAAACGTTGATAATGGTGGTTAGCAATAGTGACACATATACGTAGAACATTCTTGAGCATAGTAGCATTAAAGCCGCGGTATATGTCGGTGTGTTGAATTTGATTTACATTATTTTAATGTTTCTTACTTGAATAAGAGATAAAGATTCTGGTCAAAATTTGTAAACATTGGCTTATTATTTTTTTGACGTCGTTAAGTCCGATGCATACGAGTCAATAGCTCGGCCATTCGTCAGAAATCTACCCATGATCATACGCCTATTTTCCACGCTTTTGGTTTTGAAGATCAGATCCGAGTGGACGAATAAGGAGATCCATTAAAATCATGTGAAACCTATTACATTTATGTGGAGTGTAGAAAATTTAAAATCGAAAACGTAAATCAAAATTAAGATGTTACTTTCTGGAATATAATTAGATGTTTTGATCATTTGAAATAACTAAAATTTTTTCAACATGTTTAAATGATTGTCAAAGTAATGTCAAACTTTATTAAAATATGTTGTGACATGAGTGACAATGTCAAAATTTATAAACCTCCTCTATGAAGAGCGCATGAAAAATTAATGTGAAATATTATATTCGAAATGATGAAATTCACAGATGGAAACAACTTTATTTTCGAAATGGGCATTGAAATGAAATGATTATTCACATTATTACATGCTGACTTAATTCTTGTTGTTACAGACTCCAATCGAAACACTGGCCCATTGTTGTAGAAAATTGTTCCTCTTTAGTCCTCATAAGAATAACTGTCATCATAATTGCTATCATAATCGTCATTATCTGAAACATTGAATTGACATTACTTCAGAAAATAATTAACACATTGGTGAGTTGCTGCATTTTCTACACATAACACATAACCACCATGATATTTTTAATAACTGCTCGAAGATTAAAAATGAAGCTAAAAAGTTTTATCAAAATGAGGTTGCTGAAACCATATACGAGGAGAGGCTAAAAAGTTCATAGGCTGACTATGAAGAAACCATTCATTTACTGATAGCTCTATTACTATGGCCAACGCTATCTTTTTATTTAGAAACAAACGCCTACTAGGACTACGTGACAATTTTGGTAATAGATCAATAAATCAACTTGTTCTTATGTGGATCAAACGGTGTACAAATTTTTTGCATAACAATTCAACTTACTACAAGTACAACTGTATCTATTCGATAAACTGTTGATTACCAGTTGTTCATCAGATTCCCAACAACACACAGTGATTCCATCTAACACAACACTATTAGAGTCCAAATCAGTACAATCGCTGCCTTGAAGACATGAACCTTGAACAGCTAAAATTGATTTTCCACATAGTTATTGGTATAGGAAATACCACTTTTATGCATTTGACAATAATGACGGGCAGTGCAATTCCGTATGTGGGGAAATCTTTAAGGTGGCAGATTTATCATTATTTACAGCGATATAAAGCGTGTTCAAAGCTCATTCATAGATGCAAACTATCGATGATGTTATTTCAATATGGTCCTGAAAACCATTTCGTTTCCGAGCTTATTCTCGCTCGTTTGTAGTTTCGTCTTTTCAGGAAGTCATTTCGTTCAAATCAACAGGAATATACATAAACAAGTTATTGATGAGAAAAACTCTTATCTATATAGTAGAATTCAATACTTACAGCATGCAATTAATGTACACAGAGAAATGCCATTACTACAAGTACAGGTATTGCAGTCTATCTTGAACTGTTCTCCATCTTCATAGATGATGCCATTTTCAACACATTGTTCTACAAACAAGAAGTATTAAAGCTTTAGTTGACATCTTGATTTCTGTTATCAAATTTTTAATTTCACAATATTTGATGGATCTCAAACAAATGCGTAAACTATTGAATACATTAATGAAAAAGGAAGTAGCTTTGTATGTGAGGTCGGGTATTCAAAAGGAGAAATTCTAAATGGACTCAACGGAATGGCAGACGGACATAATTATCATAAATAAAATGGTATATTAAATAATGCTTACTGGGCTGACATTCTTTTTCTGTGCAGACAGAATTACCATCAACGCATGTACAAATATTACAGTCATCTTTATATCTTTCACCATTGTAGTACACCTTTCCATCAACTTCACAATCTTCAAATTTTAATGAAAAATATATTTCACGAAGATTCTGTTGTCAAAATGACAAGACCATCATTAGTATAATATGCTAATCTTGTAACGTTGCGAAAACGGTTGCGTGTATTTTGTAAAGACATAATTGTCTATCTTATACCCCTTTTCGGCAGCGGATGTTGACTCGGAGAAGACATGTGAAGGCTAGCAGGGAGAAAACAATTGAGAAAGGATGACCAGCAGAAAGAAGACAAGTAAAATAAGAGAAGTATCATGGATTGCACGAAGTACAAAGCAACATCTACATTGAATGGAAGAGGTTGTGGCATCTAAAATATTGGTCAAACAATACAAACATACCTCGACTTGAAGGATGACAGGCCATTTTGGTACATCCCGCACCCTTTTGACTTTTTGGGGCAATACTATATAATATAACCAAGTTTCAGCAAAATCCGTAAAGAATTGCACCTTCTACAGTCTTTCCGAGCATATCGAACAAATAAAAGTGCCCTACTTAAACACCCCTTTATGCATTTCGCTTACACTAGGAATAAATGTTATATTAAGACGGATATGTACTAATGTTGCTTTAAAAATAACTTTACCTCGACTTGATGGATGACAGAGAAGTAATGTACATCCTGCACCTTTGCTGCCACAAAAACAATTGTTACACTCTATTTGGAAATTTTCCCCTTCTTTATACGTTATACCATTGTGCACACATGTGCCTGTAAAATTAAAGATTCGTGAAATTATCTGCATTAACCTACTACTTAAAGCATACAAACATCACAAAAATAAAAACTGACCAAACCTTATGATTATCAGTATATCTTATAAGATCGTTCCTGAAATTGTTGTGGGATGATGAACAAATATATGAAATACGTCTTGAATTTAATCGTATACACAGTCTTCGAAATAATTTTTTTTTAATGTTTTCAAAACAATATTGATTCGGTCCAGCAACAAATTGGGAGAAGAAAAGATGAATTATTGGGATCTTGTCAAACTATGGCTAAAAGTGATCTTAATTCCAATCACTTTGAGAATAAAAAATTTCAGAAACCAGACTTAAATAGCCAATCATAATTTGTATTAAAAGATTTGGGTCTGAAAGTACGGAGTTGTCTTGAGTTCTGTTGATTGAAAAAAATGCAAAATCACATAAATATTTAATTTTTAGCGAGAAATATTGCCGGTGGTCTTAACAAATATGTGACTTGATCTACTCATGTAAAAAATAGATGTTCATTACCTTGTATAAATGTCGAAAAGGATAACAGAAGGGCAATTTGAATTACCAACCCGTACATCTTGAAACCTGTGGCTGTTGTGCAAATTTATGCAGTTCCGGGTATAATTGCAGTTTATTTACGAAATCATACAATTTATACAGTTCGACTTTTGACAGGTTTGAGTTTTTATTTGACAGCAAATATCAACATGACATATATCTTCCCTTCTTTCAGCTATATAAATTAATGTATTAACTAGCACGGAAAGATTGTTTTAGATTTATCATTTTTTATACGCCCACGTGGAATGTGGGGCGTATATTGCCGTCACCCGTGTCCGTCGGTCCGTCCGTCCGTCCGTCCGTCGGTCCGTCCACAATTGCTTGTTAACACTCTACACGTCACAATTCTTTAAGGATTTTGACGAAACTTGCTGAAATTGTTTATTATCACCCAAGGATGAACCCTATTGAAAATCAATAAAATCGAAAAATATTTAATATGAATTATTGCCCTTGTTCTTTAAAACACGTTCGATTTTTAGCTCGTTAACACTCTACAAGTCACAATTCTTTACTGATTTTGACAAAACTTGCTGAAATTATTTATTATCACCCAAGGATGAACCCTATAGAAAATCAATAAAATCGAAAAATATTTGATATGAATTATTGCCCTTGTTATTGAAAATGCGTTCAATTTGTAGCACGTAAACACTCTAGAAGGCACAATTATTGATGGATTTTGACGAAACTTGGTGTGAGTGTATGTAATCACCCAAGGATGAAGCCTATCGAAAATCAGAAAAATCGAAAAGTATTTAGTATAAGTTATTGCCCTTGTTCTTAAAAATGTGTTTAAGGTTTAGCCTGTAAACACTTTAGAAGGCCCAATTCTTGACAGATTTTGATGAAACTTGGTAATATTATTCGGTATCGCCTCAAAAAGTTCAAAAGAAGTGTATGTCTGAAGGTTGAATATTTCATACTGGTAATTGTTACTGTACTGCCAAATATTTTTATTTAAAATCAAAGCTGCCAGTGGGCGTATATTACCTTGCCTGGCAAGCTATCTTCTTTTTTGGTGATAATTTCCATTATTATCAATTTTGTTACGATTGTTTGATTTTGTGTGTCTATGTCATTATGAAGATGATCCCTATCGATTTTCTAGATGATCGGATAATTTTTCACCGAAATATCGTGTCTGACTTGACGTTTTACCCTATTAGCTATATTGTGCAACTCGTGCCAACTCTACAGACTACAATTCTTTACAGATTCTTTTGATTTTGTGTGTCAATGTCATTATGAAGATGATCCCTATCGATTTTCGTGATGATCGGATAATGGACATGGGCAATGATTCATATACTGAACATTATTCAGTATCGCCCTAAAGAGTTCAAAAGAAGTGTATGACTGAAGGTTGATTATATCATACTGGTGATTGTTATTGTACTGCTAATATATTTTTATTCAAAATCAAATCTGCCAGTGGGCGTATGTAACCTTGCCTGGCAAGCTTTCTATTCATTTTTCCTTTTGTTCTTTTTCTAACCGCTTATCTTCCGTTTTCGTTTGGAAGTTTTCTTGTCTACTCCTCTCGTTTATCTTCTCTTGTCGCCATCTTTACTTATTTATCTTTTCTCTGCTGGTTTTCTTTTCCCATTTTTCCACTTTAATACTTGATGCTATCTTTCTCTGCTCTTGTTTCTTCCCTCCGTTTATCATTTGTCTCCTCTTCTTTGAATCACCTTTTATAATTCCCATCTCGACTATGATTTACTTCATTCAGTAATTAAGCACTATTTTAGAGACACGAAAAATGTTTTTTAATACTCACCACCACCACGCTTAGTTACGGGCCTGGCGGGACATTTAAGTGGGTTTCCATGTGTCTAATGTGTCGACATTGAGTATTAGGTAAATGCATAAAATTTTACAACTACACCAATACATTACGATATGTCATATTATTAATATTGGTCTGAAACAAAATGAGACTACTAGCTGAAGTTGCAAATACAATACAAACGATTTTAGAACAGAAGTGGGCGATGCAAATATGGATAGGTGGTGTAATTACCATAAATAGCGACATTTTATATCTGGCCGTAATCGTGACAATATCCTATCCGTATTACACCCGGAACGGATAGGGCTTGATTAGCCGAGTTACCGTGACCAATGATATCCGTGATAAAGGAGCGATCTTCTTGTTGCAGATGAGTTAGTAGTTCTGACACGATATAATGGGGAATCATAGACTATTAAATACTACGTATGTCAAGTTAACTTATCAACATCTGTTGGTGACTTCATGTCGAATGCATGAAATAAATGAATCGTTAAATAAATGACGAAAGTCACAGATGGAAACAACTTTATTTTTTGAATAAAGATAATAACACGCTGTCTTGATTCTTGTTATTACAGACTACAATCAAAACACAGGCCCATTACTTAAATAACTGTCTTCTTTAGATCTCATTCGCATCTGAAAAATTGAAAGAAATGAATTAACGTATGGTGGTTTTTCTGCTTTTCATCACACATGCGTTATAGCACGTCACGATCATCATATTTTGAATTATAGTTGCTTGAAAATGGAAATAAACCATTATAAAGTGATTAAGCTTTGTGAAACTACAAAGGTGACGTCTGAAGTAGAAGTTAAGAGAAGGGGGTAAACTGGTAAAAATCACTTTACCAGACTTTTTCTACACTTAGTTTTTGGACACAAATATCTCCAAGGATAAGGGGGATTCATAATTACCTGTTGTGGGTCAAACGGTGTATATCTGTGGATATTGAATATATCAAAAAGTCCAAGAAAATGAAAATAGAAAACCACAAACGAAGAATCCATGTCTGCATTTTTATCAGATTTTCTTTATGTCAATATCTTATTAAAGTAATACATCTTTGCAATATCAATTTTTAATGTCTTATATGGTGATATGAACCATATCGATTGATTTTTTTGATATCAAACAAACATTCTCTGCTGTGTATATAATGCAAGACATCTTATTACGATATTTTTAGCATCTTATGTGTATAACTACTTCATCTGGGACTTAACTTAGTGCAGAGTGCTATTAACAAATATGGAACTCGTACCATTATGTTGAACAAGTTGTTGAAAACAACCTTTGAGGCGAAATAGCTTGTACATTATTGAAGAACACATTCAAGGAAAACGAAGTGTTTTTAAGGAGGTTGAGTATTCGAAATAAGTAATTCCAAATAGACTAAAAGCAATGGCGCACGACACAACATGAAAGATCAAAATTTGAAAAATAATACATTAACTAATGCTTACTTAGCAGGAAGGATCACCATCAACGCATGTACAAGTATTACAGTCATCTTTATATCTTTCACCATTGTAGTACACCTTTCCATCAACTTCACAATCTTCAAGTTATAATGAAAAAAATATTGCAAGCAGATTCTGTTGTCAAGGCGACAGACGAGTATTAAAATTAGCAGGACAATTCAGGGGGTTTCATTTGGTGCAAAAACCATACTGTCTATCTAAAACGATATTTCGACATTGGGTATTGGGTAAATACATAAAATCTAGTAATGAGACGTCTAAAATATTGGCAACGTACCTTGACCTGATGGAAAACAATACTTTTTGGTACAGGCTGCACCTCCTCTTACACACTGACATTTGTTACACTCTATTTGGAAGCCTTCCCCTTCTTTATACTTTATCCCATTGTGTTTACATGTGCCTGTAAAATTAAAGATTAACGAAAGTACCCGTGCTAAAGACTGATTCCTAATGCAAATGACTCGGCGGAAATGAAATAACTTTGTAAGTGATGATAAGTACTTGAAGATGCCTAGGCAGATCATTCAAAATTATAAAAAAATATATTTAATAATACTTACTTGGCTGACAGTCTATTTTTGTGCAGACAGGATCACCATCAACGCATGTACAAGTATTACAGTCATCTTTATATCTTTCACCATTGTAGTACACCTTTCCATCAATTTTACAATCTTCAAGTTATAATGAAAAATATATTTCAAGCAGATTCTGTTGTCAAGATGACACACGATTATTAAAATTAGCATGCCAATTCAGGGGGTTTCATTTGGAGTGAAAAAAATAATGTCTATCTAATGCGACTTTTTTAAATTGGGTAAATACATAAAATTTTACAACTACAACAATACATTACGATATGTCGCATATTATTAATATTGGTCCGATACTGGATGAAGCTGCAAATACATTAGAAACGATTTTAGAACAGAAGTCTCGTTCTTAAGAATAGCATTTATCTAAATTTAGATTCACAGATGGTGCAAAGAAGCATCTAACTAACCATACATTGAGATAGATATCTAGTCATGTGACGTCTAAAATATTGGAAACGTACCTTGACTTGATGGAAAACAATACTTTTTGGTACAGGCTGCACCTCCTCTTACACACTGACATTTGTTACACTCTATTTGGAAGCTTTCCCCTTCTTCATACTTTATTCCATTGTGCTCACATGTGCCTGTAAAATTAAAGATTAATGAAATAACCAGTGCTAAAATATACAAACATCACAAATGTAAAGTTGATTCCTAATGCGAATGACTTTGTGAGTGATGTTAAATATTCCAAGAGCTTTTCT